CTTAGAAGTTGCAGATCACAATGAATGGAGGCTTTCTATTAAATTTTCTGGTTCCACAAAATATTCATGCACAGTTCGCAATATCTTGCAACCTGGGTCAACCAACCGCTTCACTCATGCTATGATGTGGAAAGGGGGAAAGGATTGGGTTTTGGAGTTTCCTGACAGGAGCCAGTGGATGCTGTTCAAGGAGATGCATGAAGAATGCCACAATCGTAATATCCGTGCTGCTTTGGTTAAGAATATCCCAATTCCTGGTGTTCGGTTGATTGAAGAAATGGAAGATGATACTGCGTGCATTCCCTTTGCTCGCAGTTGTCCTGATTACTTCCATCAGGTTGAGAATGATGTTGACATGGCGATGAATAGTTCACGAATCCTGTATGATATGGATAGTGAGGATGAGTGTTGGCTCTCATCCAACCAAATCTTCTCACACTCTGGTGGATATAATGAGATATCAGATGAGTTATTTGAAAAGACAATGAACATGTTTGAAAAAGTGTCTTATGCAGAACAGCGTGAGAACTTTACATCTGATGAGTTAGAAGAATTGATGGCTGGGATAGGTTTTATGGAAGTGGTGAAATCTGTTTATGAACACTGGAAGCTTAAAAGGAAGAAAAATGGCATGCCTTTATTGCGTCAATTCCAGGTAAGATGGGGATGGCTAAGCTTTTATTTTGTTATCTTTTCTGCATGATTGATGCTGCATGATTAGCATGAGCTGCCATTGTATTTTCTTCTGTAGATTCCAAGTGCTATAGATATCACTGTTTGCAAAAATCTTATCTCGATGTCTGGGTTATGCTTCAATGTGCTACTGACCTGCTTGCTATACTTGTTGACCTCCACATCTACTCTTTTTTGGATTCTCATTTATTGTGGTTTTGTCTGTAAGGTTCTTAGTGTCTTATAATCTCTTCAACTAGAAAGCAATATGCATCAGTCATGGTTTGTGAAGTGGCTTGTAATTGTCAGGACTCAGGAGTCAATCGCTGCTTGACAATTACTGTTGTTTCCACCTTTTTAATGAACTTTGGTCATTTGTCTTATAGTAGGGGTTTCCATTTAAAGTGTGTATTTATCTCTCATCAGGTTAATGTATTGGAATAAAACTTAAGATATACCAGGCATAATAATTTGCTTGTAACATTGTGTAGGGCATTGCCATTTAGTGCTGCATGGATATTACAATCCTTTCTTCTTTGTCACACTGTTCATTCGAATGATATTTGGTATCTATTTGGTTGTTTTTTGACTTTTAGCTGAATTTTGTTGATTCTCACAGGTTGTCATAGAAAATGATGACCCTATTTCATATAATTAATGTATCTGATTTTGTTTTAGAATTTGGGTAAATCATAACTTTTGGGACCCTTGAACTTGAAAAATACTAGGGAAATGGGGAGGAAAATTGATAGGATGTTTTGAAGAAAATATGAGGGAAATGTTTAAAAAAAGGTTGATTCTAACTCAACATATCAATTTTAGATATTTGTTCAAATGCTGTGATCACACATTCACACCCTCTTTTCGCTTCTGATAATTGTCAGGCTTCATTTGTTTTTCTTGTGTCTGTTGTTCAACATTCAAGATTACATGAGGATAGCACTTTCTCATCAAGAATTCTTATCCTATTTTTTTATCAGCGCCCTTTATGGGAAATGTATCAGCAACAAGTAAAAGATTGGGAGCAAGAGGTTTCCAAGGCTGTGGCTGCAAATCACGGGAAAACACCTCTCATTGAGAAACCACAGATGTTTGCCTTCTGTTTGAAGCCTCGGGGTTTGGAAAATCCTAACCGTGGTTCAAAACAGCGTTCTCAGAAGAGAATTCCAATCGCGGGACATAATCATACTTCTTTCAGGGATCAAGATGGTATCCATGCTTTTGGTATATTTCTTTCTGCCTATTTCTTCTCTGTCGTTTTGTCTCCAGCAGATGCATGTCCATCTTTTGCCTCCATGCCGAACCCTTGTTTTGGTCTGTCTCTTACTGGCTTTTGTTAATAGCCTGTTTAGATGATGGGCTTGAGCTATGTCATGATAAATACGGAGTATAGTGTTTCTCACTCTTTTTTAGCCTGTCAATTTTTATGTCTCAAATTTATTTATTAATGGAGTATAGTACTATAGTATATATCATGATATTGACCAAAGGCTTCCCCTACAAACCCCCTCAAAAATTCTTTAAACAGCTCCAAAGGGTTTGTTTGGAGCCTAAAAAATAATTAAGAAATAAAATAGGCAGAAAATAGATGATAAGGAAATTTGGAGTAAAATAAAGGATATGTTGGTTTAATTTATTTCAGATGTTCAAAACTGTTTTACTTAGTTCTACTATATGAAGACTAAGAAAAAAATTCTTAATACGGACTACGGAGTATATGATTAAAAATCATATTTTGTATTTGTTCACACTATGCCACAGACCCCAAGAAAATAACTTTCCATGGGGTATCTGTTTTTCATTTCCCTAGTTTTTTTCTTCTTCCAAACTTACTCTGAATGTTTCTGATCATTTCTGGCCAGGGAGGAGAATGAATGGATATGCACTTGGAGATGAGATGATTGTGTGTACTGGAAACAACCATGAACTCTTGGATATTGCTTCTTCTCCAACTTGTCATGCTTCAAGAAGTGCCTTTTCTCCACGTGATGCCAGTGGAGATTTCTCTTTGAACAATGAGGGCTATGAGTGGAACCATCACCCAAAGCTCCAGAGAAATAAATCAAAGAGGATTGGGACGATCTTGCCACCTGGCAGCCCACATCTGGTTTCTTCTCATGACCGGAGAATCACAAAGAGGAACGGTTTTCATCCGTCTGATTGGTCAAGCCCGAAGCTCGATCAACACTTTGATATGCCAAATATTCAGGAGTTGAGGCTCCGCGATGCATCCAGTGCAGCCAAACATGCCTGCACGGTGGCAAAACAAAAGCGCGAAAAGGCGAAGAGGTTAATGTACACGGCTGACCTGGCAATCCAGAAAGCCGTGGTAGCTCTCATGAATGTGGATGCAATGAAAGCTTCTGCCACTGATCAGAATCATCGCCAATGATAATATGTTATTCTTTTTGGGGGGTTATTAAAAAAAGCTCCCGGACCTTACGCCGCGTTTGGCTATACACAGGTTCTCACAGAAACGGATTTTGATCCAATTCCATCCTTTGTCTATAAAATTAGAATGTAGATTTCTGACATGATGGCCGGAGCAGAGTAGTCACTGTGGTTACCAAGAGAGCTTTACTACACAGAAATCTACCATCCTTTTTCCCGGGGGTTTGTTCATTTCCAGTTTGCTACAGTGCTGCACGGCTGGTTTGATCGCTGACCTGGCGGGTCGGGATTTCGTTTTGTCCCTCGTTTGTACATAACGGTGTTGCTCTCCTCTTTTTGGTTTTTTTATGGTGGTCTCTTTAGCTCTTGGGTTAACCCGTCCTGCCCCAAATAATATGGAGTATTGAACAAAAAATAATAACAATTCTGGAAGCTATATATGATGAGGTTGATTTTAGATAGGGCATTGAAGTAGATCTTTTTTTTTGTTTTTTTTTGTATTGTTGAGAGCACATTGAGTAGGGAAGATATGAAAATATATCTTGTGTAAGTAAATTTCTGGTGAAATGTTCATCGCAATTGGTATAGATTTAGTTTTAAAAAAAGCCATTCTTTTTGTAGTCCAGTGTATCTTACATTGTTAGTTGCTAATGTTCTCAAGGCTTTAAGCGCTGGATCTCAATTCTCAAAGAAGGGTTCTTCGCGGGAGAGGGGGTGGGGGGCAATGATGATGTGCAGTGACGTGAAACACTTCAACTATTCAAAAATAGTCTAGTCAGCGTGTTGCATGCAGTGAGAAGTTCATTTTGTGTCATTTTTTATACTTTTTTGACGTATTTTAATTATTAAAAATATTTTATCTATTTTTCAAAAAAAGATGTATTTCTTTAAAAAAATGTCTTTCTTATACAAACATTTAAAAATAATAATAACAAAATAAATTGGGAATGAGTTGCCTCGCAGATGGCTCTTGGTAATGCCATGCTAGGCATTGGATGGAAAGTTGAAAACCTACTAAGGTGGCAAGGCGTAGGGGGCTATGCCTCGCCCTTGTTTTTGCTCTTTTAGGAGGTTGTTGTTAGAATATAAATAATTCTTCCTGAGCCATGACCGCAAGCTTGAGCTTTTGGTTGAATTGGTTCTTTGACATGATATCGGAGCCTTGTTGACTAAAAGGTCACGAGTTCGAAACTCAGCGCCACCCAGTTGTTCCGTATGACTCAGAACCAAATCCTACCTTGAACCCTCCCCATATGGATTGCATGTTAAAAAGTATAACTTTAGGTCCAAAATCATCGATTAGAAAATTTGGACGGTAAGAATATTATCACAATTTTTTATTCAATTTTTTGAACGGATGAAACAACTTAAGAAATTTGTCCAAATGTTCTAATTTACTTTTGAAAAAATGCGGTAAAAACTTAAATATGAAAGATTTCTCTACAAATAGCGGCACATTTTAAATTTTGAAAACATGTGGTAAAAATTTAAATATGAAAAGTAGTGGCACGTTTTAAGTTTTATTTTCAAGTCGCTCACTGTATTATAATACTTTTATGGCCTACTTTTCAAGAAAATATTCTTGTACAAAAGCTATAATGTAATTTTTTGTTCAACCAACCGTTCTAGTCACTCTTAAAAAACACTTTTTAAAACTATTCGTAATTGTAACATCTATTGTAACTAAGAGCAATTGCACGGGTTAATTATTTTATCCCCGACATTATACTTTGTTATGGCATTTATCGGTGATACTTGATAGTAGAAAAAAACCTCACTCAAAACTTTTTAAATTGGAGTCTAAGTCGTCATGCATTGCGCAGTTGGCAAGACAATGGTGGTCAGGATAATAATCAAATTAGATTCCTATTGCGTGTTTCCCTCTTTGTCACTAATATGAAATTCAAGTTTAATTTATCTTTTTTCAGTGACCGTCTAGCCGTGTTTGAGAAACTCTTGAGTTAGGGTTCATTTAAAAAAGATGGGAGCCCAAGGCCCTGAGCCAACCGTTAAAACTGCCAAAATTTCCTCGTGGCCTCTCTCTGTGCTTAGCAAACCCTTAATTTCCCAAATTTAATTTTCCCCATCAAATTGACTAAACAAAACTTCTGCAAATCCCACCATTTCCCTTCTGCCATAATTTTTTCCCCAATCACCAAATTGGCCCCTTTTTTCAGGTATGTTTTCTTCGCTTGGCTTCCTGATTTTTTAATCTTCTCAGCAGTGTTGATTATGAAGCTTCATTATCTGTTTAATGGAGAAAAATAGCCCTTTTTCAGGCAACAATGTTTGTTTGTTGCCCAGAAATGGTTAACGGCCTTTGAAATTCATCTGAAATTAAAATATATGCTTGTTTTGTTTAAAAAAATCAAAATTTGAGCTCAGGCGGACTCAAATTGGACATTTTAAATGTCAAGCCAGATGAAGGAAGAAGAGAGAATCGAAAGGATCATTCGAGGTCTCCTAAAGCTGCCAGATAACCGGAGATGCATTAACTGCAACAGTTCGGTAATGCCTTTTACATTTACCCTTTTTGATGAAAATTCTTCTGACTTCCAATCCAATCAATTAGCAAATCCAACGCAAAATCTCGTAGACCTCTCGTCAATTTCCTGTGTGGAACTCGGCATTTTTGTATAGAAACTATTATGTTAATAATGGTTTGGCTTATGCGTCTTATGTCATACTCAGAACACGGTGATTGTTCTATTTATAGAATTATAGCCCAAGAAAATCTAAAGTGGTTGACTAATGGCTGTTCTATGGTTCCACGCCGCAGGGACCGCAGTATGTTTGTACAACTTTCTGGACATTCGTATGCATGAATTGCAGCGGAATACAGTAAGTTCTTCAACAAAAAAATTGTAATCAGGCCCTAATTTCCATATAGTTTGATTTGTTTATGAGATTTTCATATCCGTATCGAGTTTGTGTTTTGATTTTAGTCGAGAATTCACACACCGGGTAAAATCGGTGTCAATGGCTAAGTTTACTGCCCAAGAAGTTAGTTGCCTTCAAGCTGGTGGCAATGAGGTCTGAAATCTTTTCCTACTAGAACTACCAAGCTACCATCGTTTTCCTTCTCCTCTCCCTTTGTTTTGGTTTAATTTTCTTCTGAATCGGTTAACTTGTGTTTTGCTGATAGCGGGCAAGGCAAATTTACTTCAAGACTTGGGATCCTAGTCAGAATTTTTGCCCGGATGGCAGGTAAAGAGTAACCCCACATGAGCTGATGAATACGAGTGCTAAGATCGTCTTATTAATTATTATGTTTAAAGTTGGAACTATTTGCCACTTGCCTTTTTTTCATTGCAGCAACCTTAACAAACTGAGGGACTTCATCAAACATGTTTACGTGGACCGTAAATTTTCAGGCGACAAGAGCCAAGAAAAGTCTCCCATAGCTAAATCTGTAAGCATTTAAGACTTGGGATTTTGTTGAGAATTTTCTTAATCATAGAAGATATCAAGAAGGGTTTGGTATCTTCAAAGTTAATTATTTTTCAAATTTCAATTGTACATATTAACTTTGAAGACGCTACAACTAAACATTGTCGTTACATGACCTTTTCAAAACGCTAAAACTGTGGCCAAACGGGCACTAAACCATTGCTATGTTGTGCTCAAGGGTTCAAGAGATTTGTATGATGAGCGGCGTTCGTTTGAAAGATCCATCCCTGGTGGAAAGGAAGTGTTTGGAGAGCGCCATTCGTTTGAAAGTTTTAGTTTGGGTGATAGGCGTTGGCACGATAAATCCAGTCGAGGCAGTAAAGAGGACTTAAATGATAGGTGCTATTTAGAAAAGCACAATAATGCAGCTAGAAAGAATGAAGATAGAAACTTGAGATATGGCATTGACCAAACCAGAAGTCCCCGATACACCCAACCGAAGAGCCGTCCTGCCCAGTTCGAAATTGTTGATGATAGGTTTCGAGAGGACGGGTCTGGGAATGTGAAACGGTATGAGCATTATCGGTTTACCAAAGCAGAGTCAAAGCGTCAGAGCAGATCACCCGATTCTCAACGGGCGAGTACTGAACCAACCCATCCTGTTGTCTGCCCCATTAAAGATATCTTGGGTGACCAAGTTGTTAAGCTGGAAGTTGGTGATCCTCCAGAACCAAAGGAAGCAAATGTTCAGGTGAGTTTGTGTGTCTGTGTATTGGATAACAATAAACTTCACAAACTTCTCATTTTCCACAATCCTATTGCAGAACAATGGAGAGTCTACTAAATCATCAGACTCTGTAAAGCCTATAAACTTGATTGATTTCGAAGATGATCTTCAACCTCCAGCAAGTGCTTCAACTCAGTCAACACAACAACCACCAGCTTCAACTTCCTCAAGTGAAAAGGCTTCAACTAATGTTGATTCTACGGAGTCATTATTATTATTGGGAATGTCTCCCGCTGCTTCGCCAACAGTAGCGACAGATATGACATCGCCAGCGCCAGTTCCTGCTGATTCCACAACCGCTCATCAAGAGAATGTTCCTCAGGATTCTAACGCGGGAAATGATCAAAAACATAGTGGAAGAAATGAGCTTCCAGCGGTATTGGATCAAGTCCTTTATATTGTTTTAGGAGTGGGGTTCTCTTCTCACGCACCACAGGTGTCATAATATGACACCGGCCATTTGAGGGCCCTATGGTGTTCCATTGGACCCCGAGGTGGTTTCTACCTCTTTAACCCACACAAACCCCACCATCAGCCTGCCTCTTTCCCTCCTAGCCCCCCATGTTTCACCACTATGCTACGGTGAACATTGTAGCATATCAGCAAAACAGGGGGCAAGGGGGGTTGGGGTGTTAGGAGGTTGGAGGTAGGAACCACTTCAGCATCTAACGGAGCACCATAGTGCCCCAGAGTCATATCGTGACACCCAAAACCAGTGTCAAAAGAACTGAACTCTTATTATAGATAGTTGAAGTACCGCACATAAAGAATTTACACATATTATAAAGCTCCCTAATTTTGTTGAAACTGCATTTCCTTTTACAGGAACTTTTCACATCAAGCTATTCACCTTTTCTGGCGGCAGCGCCTGGATGGATGGAATATGGAATGCATTATCATCCTCATCATCATGCAAGGGTGAAAACAGATCCTAATTACTCAGTATATATTTTTTTGTCAGATCACAAAGATGAGTAAAAAGTAAAAAAAATTCTTACTCTGGAAACTTGTGCCACAGATGATGCTCTCAGCAAAATCAAGAAACCCGTTTGATGTTTGTGACGAAAGCTCTCAAGTTCCCGCCCCAATGGTATGCCGATTCATTCCAATTAATACATTCCTATGTTAGTTTAGCACCCCAATTTTGTTGGAAAAATTTAGGATTTGCTTCTTATTTTCCCATGCATTCAATTGATCAATGTCTCTATTCAAAATAATTAAAGACAGATATATTTTGAGCTTATATGGTCTTGGGTTAGACTCGTCGATCATTGGATTCAATCTTTCAGTGTAGTCTTACCTAAACAAGTTAAATAAGCGACTCTGTCCTAATATTGAATTCTATCGCGTATCTAACCTTAAGCAAAACAAATGTGTTCATTTTTCATTTGATTAGCTTCCTTCCATGCTACCGTTGCAAGGAACGCCTAATGTATTGCCTTCGCCACATCCCCAACAATCACCATATGCATTGGCACCGCCTCTTCCATCAACTTCTTATGGGATGGTTGTACCTCCAGGTGCATATGTGTGTCTATATATACATACATAGCTAGACACATTATTTCCTCATTTATACATGCCATCATTCTTCACTCTTATTTTACTTGATGCAGGGGCATATGTTGGACCACAATTACCCAACAATTTGTTAATGAGGTGAGACCAATACCTTACCTATACTTGATTTTTGCTAGGGTCATTCATTTTTTGGTCTAATTTCTTTAAATAAATTCTATGGCGCGAGACTACGGGTTTGCTTCCCAGCAAAAAGGCTAATGTGTAAATTAAATTTGCAGAGGGTATCAAGAACACAACAACTCTGAAACCGGAGAATCGCCATTTGCTTTGCTGAACCCTCTTCATCAATCTAGTAGCAGTAGCATTCCATACATGACACCGGATACTTCATCACATTCCTCTTCAACCAGAACCAATCCCTTCAGTTATTAGAGAAAGGTATATGTATACATATAGCAGTGACATGCTTGTGTTTGTATGTATATATGTATGTATATATACATACTTTGATGAAGAACATCATTTGATTGTGTACTATATTGTCTCATCATTTATTCAATATAGTGGTTCCAGTTCAGTTCTCAGGAAACTTAGTTATGATATGATAATTCAGCAATTTAAACGTCGTTTTAATTAACTCTATGTTTAGTATGATATAATTCGTTTCGAGGCAAACTTACATATGAGTTTAATTTTAGGTACTTCCAAAAGATCTCGAGCTGCCATACATTCCATAGCGTGAAAGTTTAATTTAAAAAAAAAACCAATGGGCAAATAAAATACTTAATTCCAACACAAATTAATTAAGATTTTGAGCATCCCATGCATAATTGCACCACAATAATTCTAATAACACACATTTGCATTTTGTGTGTTTAATTTTTTTAAATGGTGCATACATATACTTCACCAGAAATACTAGTGCAGAGAGACTAAGCTAGGTTCTTGGTTGCTGCTGCATTGTCCTTAGAGATTTAGATTGCTCGCACATGTCGCCGCACCTGCCCACGCATTGCCCCAATCGTGCTTCATCTGTACGTACGTCGCACACACAAATGTTATTCCACGTATTAGTAATAGCAACCAAGAGGAAAAATTTTCATTCGACTTCAATATATACTCCGTCCCACAAAACCTTTCTCCTTCCGTTTTTCATCTGTCCCAAAAAAAAACTTTCTCGTTTCTATTAAAAAGTCGCTTTTACTCTTACTAATTCTTAACATACTTATCAAATCACACTTTTTCACTATCGATCCACCCATCACATCCTACTTTTACCCCATCAAATCCAAGAGCATTTTTGGAAAGTCATCAACACCAAAATACACCCCCCTGAAAACGTTTAACAGTCAAAACCAGAAAGGTTTCGTGGGACGGAAGGAGTACATTATTAAATACATACATACATACATACCATTGGCTTGGGAGGTGCAGAACTGCATGGAGCATGCCATGCGGCAAGAAGAGATGAAATTAGTGGTTGGAACTGAGAAGCAACCTCCCAAACACTTGAAATAACACTTGAAAGAATCAAATGGGTTTCCAACAACTCCTCCTATGTTGTATTTGTTGCTGTTGTTGTTGATGAGGAAACACTTGTTGTAGCACCCTCCCCAGCACCTGTATATGTTGTTCAACTGCCCATACTCTCCTCCTCCTTGCTGCTGTGCAGATGCCATCATCATCATCATCACCATCACCATCATCATCACCATCCATACCCTAACCTCACCCATCATCATCTTCTTCATCATCATCATCACCATACCCTTACCCTCCACTATATGTTTTTATGGTAGTATTCAAAGAAGAAGAAAAAAAGGGCCAAAAGGAATTTTGTTGTGTTTAATAGTTTGTGTTTGAAGTACGACTTCAATTCATTCAAATAGCATAATAATAATGTTGAGTTTAATGAAGTTAATTAATAATTATTGTATGAAGTAGTTGGGCGAGTGCAAATTAGTAACGTTCTAATAAGGCAATCTTCCCACCCTTTTTTTTCACATAATAAAGACACCCAAAAACTAAAGCAATCCCATAACTTTGTTATTTGTTTGCTTCTTTTTTTAGGAGGAAAATTAAAAATTGTGTAACTGTAATTTGAGAGGAGAAAACAAGAAAAAGAGAAATTCTTTTTTTTTCAAAAAAACTAAAATTATTTAAATGGTAAAATTGTTGTCGAATGGACACATTGCATGTGTTCTATTGATATTTTTTTCATGTTTGACTTTTCCCATCAAACAGATTAAGTTTGACCACTTATTTGTTTTTAATGAACTACTAGCCTCGTACTTATATTTTAAAATGGTTCACTTTAAAAATTACAGAGTACTATAAACTACTCGTAGTAATTTTTTTAAAAAAATTGAAATTTACCACAAATATAAAAGCATGTAAAGTCCAAAGACTCGTAATTTTTTTAGCAAAACAGAACGTGATTTAATACTATCATCATCATCAATAATGAATTAATGTGTTTTGTTTTAAGCCGTTTAGTATCAAAGTAAACTTTTTTTGACCATTTGGAAATGAAACGGTTAACTAATTAAGTACTCCCTCCGTCCCAAATTATTTGCCACATTTGTTTTTTCAACAGTCGCAGGAACTTTTGTTTATTTCTACGTTTTCATTGTTTATTTGATAAAATAAAATATTCTTGACACCTCTTATTTCGAAGAAATTTTCATGTAGTTTTTTTATATGTAATTTTTATTTTTTATTTTTTTACTAATATGCAAATAAAATGAATTGAAAAAACCTGATATTTTGCCTCGGTAATAGAAATGTGACAAATAATTTGGGACGAAGGGAGTAATATTATACTATATATTTGTTGGCATATCATTATTAGCATTGTCAATCTAGCTTTCGTGTGAATTTAAATGTAATCAATTCACTAACCAATCAGTCACAATGTCAAATGAATTAGTTTAACCAATATATAAAGTCAGCTTAAAAAATACGGAGTAACAATATTTAAAGTCTCTAGCTCAAGTAGTTGGGTAGTATGCTTTCTTGAAATAAAATTGGTCATTACTCCCCCATGCCACAATATTTTGTCAAACTATGGTACCCCTGATAAATAAAATAAAATCTTACTTTTTTTCGTCTCATTTTTTTTGCTTTTTCTATGTTGTCCAAATCATTTTTCTCTCTTCTAAACAAATTGTAATCAATCATTTTTCACTATTCAACATTGATGCATATATTCAAATTTTTTAAATTTTTCCTAATATATATATATGAATTCAAAGTAGTTTTTTGTTATATACTCCGTATATGGAATGGCACATTCATGAAAGTGCTCTAAGAGCTAGTGCGCGTTGCGCAGTTAGCAAAGGCAAAGAGTGTCAAAGAGGTAAAACCCGAATTCGATTTCTGGCATGAGAGGCAATTATGTCAAGCATAGAGCCTCTGCAAGTATTAGCTGCAAGTTTTACTCTTTGTCATCAATCTGCGATCATAATATAATTGTCTGTTCAGCTCAGTCTGAAGGAGCCCTCGGGAAGGGAGCTTTTTATTCATTTATTTATGAAAGTACCCAAAGAAATAATTGGCCTTGGGGTTGAAGCTCAACTTGAAAGGGGTCACGAGGGATGGCCACACAAATTGCCTTAAAAGCAAAATAAGAGTCAGAATGGCAGTAACTATTTATGCATTGCATTAAAATGTCCTCATTTTACCAACACTTGCCAATTACGGTGTACTACTATGCCTTTCCAATTTGTGAGTACAATTTTTGATGGAATAGTATTCCATTTATGTACTCTTTTCCTCCCCAAAAAAATTACTTTACCCATTGATTTTTTACTGAATTGAAAATAATGTATTGTTGAAACTTATTTAAATGTTAGAACAATCTGGTGAAGCACGCAGGATCATTACTCAAAAAAAGCTTGGAATTGATTCTGATGACAGTGAGAATCAATATCATGGCATGACCGAGAGTTTCTAAGGTGTTCGGTTAAAAAAAATTGACCGATCATACGCTCTAACCCTCAATGTAAATCTCTCAACCCTGGTCTGATCCGAACTTACCCTATACCCCCTTCAATTGCACCCTCCAAATTTAGTTGACTTTGGAGCTAAATTTTAACTCTAAAGTCAACTAAATTTGTGGTGAGGGAGTGGGTGAATTCTGGTCAGACCGTGGTGGCGCGTTTACCAAAATGGTTAAGAGAATATGAATTATTAATTTTTTGAATGGGGACTCCAGTTAGAGCCTGGGTCATACTACAACATTGGAGTTCAATGTTACTTTAAATCTTCCTTGAAAATAAAATAAGTGCAAATTATTTTATGATATTTAATTTTAAAAAGAAAAGTACATAAAAGATGTTGCATGTGTGCATCAAAATAGTGTTCGAGATCAAGTCTTTGCGTACCATAAAGCTCTTGCATGCATCAGGAACAAATTTCGCTCTTTATTTATCAGATAAAGATTATAACTCAATCTATTTTTTAATCTAGTCTAATTCGTCTTTTTTTGAAATAGCCAATGCAACATTTACCATTTCAAATTGGAAAAAAAGAAATAATGGCAGTGTTTGATAGCACATCATTTATTTTACTCTCCAGTTGGCCAGCTAGTGTCCCTCCCTCCCTCCACTCAAAAATGTTTTTGCAGGAGCTAGCTAGCTAGTAGTTGTAGTAGTAGTACACCAATTTTTGAATGATCACAAGTGTAACAAAAAAGAAGAAGCAAATGAAAAGTTAACCAACAGCTTTCCCAGAATAGAACCATGATTCTTGTCACCTCAATCATATATAACCCCTCATGTCACACGGGAACGTAGCTTAGATGACAAAGATGAAAGCTGATTATACATCGCGTAGAGACGGTTCATCTTTTTTTGAAGCCCACAAACACGGGCATTTCCTCCCTTTCGTTGACGGAAAGAGAAATATTGTAAACCGCACAATTCTTTCTGTATAGCGATAAATTGGGACGAATCAAAAAGAAAAATATAATGACGGATCTTTTTAAAAAGAGAAAGAAGAAAAAAAGTGCCTATACTCTAGAAGTCTATATAGGTGTAGTAGGGATGGAGACAGGTGGGGGAATGGAGTTCAATAATAATTCAGGAAATGTCCATTCACAATGATCAGTTACATGAGAATCCATCACAGCCATTCATCCAAATCAAATGCATCTTTGATTTTCTTTCTTTCTTTTTTTCAAAAAGTGGAACCAAAGAACAGAACCCATACAGAAGCATGCACTGAATCAGCTGCTGCAGCTTACATGAGAAGGGAAAAAAAAGTGATCATTGATTATTCCTAAAGACAATGCAAGAGCTTGAGAATGTATGGGATCAGATCTGTAACTTCACTGTTATACAGAGCCACAAATATATGCCAACTTTTTTGTGCTGCCTAACTTCAACACCATTACAACCACTACACCTCTACCATTAACACTTCTTTCCTTTTTTTCCCTTTAGTGACTGACACCCAATCCATTTTTGTTTAAGAGTCCTACCGTACTCCGTTCGGCTCTGAAATGCTCCGTAGTTCATATCATACAAATCCCCCCCATATGTGAGTGACAATCCGCTGTCAAATAAGGGATTGTCACCCGCAAGAGAGGGGCTGGGAGGGGTAGGAATAGACTAAGGGGTTGTGGGGGTATGAACCCTTTCAATCAGGATTAAACTGAGGAGCAAGAAAAGAACCGGGCTCAATTGTGGCTACTATGCTAGAATTAAGTACAAAGAGCAAGAAAGAGCTAGCCAAAAAAAGGGTGTTAAAGCCCTTCTTCTCCTTTCTTTTTATACATTTCCATAGGTTCACTCTACTACAATGCGTAGAGGTTAGAGCTTATGCCAAAAAGAACAAGTTTTTAGTACATTTCCCACCAAGACCATGAGAAGTGAAATTCAAGAGCAGTGCACACTACAATCATCCATGGCTGCAGAAACATCCTCCGAAGAAGGAAGAAGAAAAAAAAAAAGAACAAAAGAAAACAGCTCTTATGAAACAGACGATACATTGTGCCTACCCTATGTGAAAATCTCATGTAATCGTGGCCAAGGTGGTGTTCTATATAGCAAAGAACAGACTGCCCTCATGCAGCTGCTCCCCACGCTCGTTTATCTTCTCAGAATCATCGCAGTTATTGGTTTTCTCCTTTTCCTCGTCAATCAAAATCTCCACAGACCGGCAAGAAGAACTACAAAATGATTTCTCACCTCTGCGTAACATTTAAAACCAATAGAAACTATGAGAAATCGTAATTCAACTCATGAATTTAAAGCAATTGGCATAGCCTGGCTTCACAAACTTTGAACTTTGGGAAGGGGCCAGAGAAAATGATAATGCATTAATGAACAATGCTTATGCCTCTCTATTTCTGAGAAGGGAAAACGTCTTTACAGGGTTTGTTGTTGTTGTAGAAGTAGTAAACAGTGATTATAATCATTATATGCATAAAAATGATCATAGAAACAGCACATTGTGAAGCAGACCTGTATATGTATATGTCTTTGCCCTCCAATTTTTTCTTGCAAGTATAGCAGAAGTGTAAGAAGGGTTCTTCAATGGAGTCAGGAGGCACTGGCAACCCTATTATTACATCTTCTTCACCATTCTTTGAAAAATTGGTGAATGCATTGTTGTGACAATCTAAAATGCAGTCACAAAAGATATGGGTCACCTTCGGATTCGGGCCATGAGTTCTCACACATGTGTAATCCTCAGAAAGCTCTATGTCACTGGTTGCTATACATCCACTGGGTTCTTGTACCAACTTCATCTTTGCACCCAACGAGTTACCCAAACCAGCAAGATGAGACTGAGAACTACCCGAATCTAGTGAGCAAGACCCAAACCGAAGTGAAGAACCTAATGGTTTAGTCTCGTTAGGCAGTGACTTAGGTCCATCAAAAGAGTCGAAACGATTCTTGCTACTCATCTGTGGTCCAAAGATTACATTTTTACCTCGATTCTCTATGGAAAGATTCTCCTGGTGCTTAGTTTCTTTGTCAAGAGAATCAATAATGCTTATTAGGCCTACTTTCTTACAGCCCCAGCTCTTCTGAGTACCCTCTAGTGATCTTTGGGACCTAAGAGGACTGCCTAAAGAAGAGAAGACCCGCAATTCGAGTGGAGAAGTCGGGCTTCTAACTGAATCAGATTCTGAGTGTTTTGGATTGAGCCCTACAAACAGGGCGGGGACGTTGAAAAAGGAGGTGACTTTGTGTTTCTGAGTTAAGAGACTGGAGTTTAAATACGACTCAGATAGAGAATCCGGTATCCGGTTACCCATCTTTTGATCTTTCTGTGATCTGCTCCTCTTCCTCAACATCATCCCTAAACCTGAAACTGTCCTAGACTACATGGAAACAAAAGCAAAAAGACAATCCTTTCTATTAGTACAAACACGATTTCTGCAAGGCATTAAAAGAGAAGCATGAAATTCTTCATCAAAACAGAAATTGGAAAAAGGTGAGCTATATATCTATTGGTGGTAAGAAAATCTTGAAAAGATCAACCCATGAGCTGCATACCATACATCTCAAAATTCAATTAGCAAAAGAAATCTTATCCGTAGATCAAAAAAAGGAAAGATCTTTGATTTCATATCCAAGAACCCAGATGGTTAATTGGATGAAGAAGATAATTATGAAGAAGAAAAGGAAAGTGTTCAAGTCATAAGTAAAGAAAATGAGTCATGACCAAAGTACTGAAAGTCAACAAAGTAGAAGACTTCAAGAACGGATTTTTTTAATTTATTAAACACATTTAATAACTCAGCAGCCAATTCACACTTCACTGAAAAAAAAGAATCAAAACTCAAAATCCCAATCTAAATGCTCATTAATTAATGAAAATCAATCCACTATGAGATAAATCGCATCCCCATTTCGCAACTAATGATCAAAGAAACACCCAGAATCAACAAACCAATCTTCGAATAAGCAAAATCTCAAACAGATTAAGAATCTGAAAATCTTGCAAAAGATAGATCATCATCATCATCATCAGAAACAAAGGGTGAAACAAAAAATCAAAACTTGATTCATCACTACAAAGTAAAAAAAACCAAGATTAATTCTTGACACAATGCAAAATCTAAAATCCTTACATTTTGCGCGCACACACACACAATAAAATAGGGTCAAGAAACATAGAAGAAATTGCTCAAAGAATCCCATGAACCTCACCTGGCTTTCCCACACACCTCTAGAAGCTTCAGAGAAAAGAAAGAGGTCTGACTCAGAAACCCAAATGCAGGAAAAAAGGAAGAAGAAGAACAGCTAGAGAGAGAGAGAGAAAGAAAGAGAGAGAAATCTCTCACAATTTAAGTGTGCAATTGTCTGTATGTATATGTGTGTGACTGTGGCTTCTTCAGTACAACTTTCTCTCTCATGTCTCTCTCTCTCTCAAACAAAATCAGAGCCTAACTTCTCAAATACACCTTCTATGGTTCTATCTCTATTCTCTAGTCAAGAAATTGAGACAGTATAGTACTGTATACATATACACCTGTGTATACTAATGCTACTGTACACATTACAGACTAGATCAAATTACCCAAGTACAGTATTTACTGAGCCGGGGAAAAACTGGAATGGGTTAAATTAATTACGGAGTAACTCAAAGTTACTACACCGTATTTACTACTGTATTTACAGAGTGGGAAATTACAGTCTCCTTCGTATCTACCGAGCCGGGCAAGGTTTACCTGAAATGAGAGTGGGTAAAATGGGTAAATCCTTCATACTTTTTACAAGGCCTCAGAGAACTAAAGTGGTTGAAATTGTCTTTTTCATAAAAATTGAAGCACGCTTGAGTAGCTAAAGAAATTGTTATTGTAAAAAGGAAAAATTACCCAAAATAATTCCAACTTTACTCGGTCTTTCAAAAATAATCCCATCTTTCACTGTGATGCATAATAATCCCAACTTTACTGAAATTTGCCAGTTTTGGATCGCCGTTAAGTTTCTAACGGAGGGATAACGGAAATGCCCGTTTTAGGCAACAAAATGAAAATTGGGATTATTTTTGATGAATTTTTGTTTTTTAATTTTTTTAAAATTTGTATTTAAATTTTTTGAATTACTTTCAACCTCCATTTCTTTTTCTTTTTTAAAGATTATTCTTACCTTAGAAAAAAATAGATATAAAAAATAATGAAAATGAGAAAAATAACTAAAACCATACAAAATTAATCAAATAAATAATGTAATCAATAGAAATTAAACAGAAACTGGTAAGAAATAAAATAAATATATATGGATTCGTGAGTTTAACATTTTACACACTATACGGAGTCTTAATGTACTACTTATTTTTTAAAAGAACAAGCCGTCTGGTAAAGTTGGAATTATTGTAGATAATTTTTTCTTAAACATAAGAAGTGAAATGTTAATACTTTGTATAATGCCTAAAATATTAAAACCCACCCGTATATTTTTATTTTACTTTTTCCAATTTCAAGTTAGTTTCCATTGATTACCTTATTTATTTTATTATTTTTGTATCATTTTAGTTACATTTCTTATTTTTTCATTTTTTATATCTATTGTTTTTATTTTTTAAACTAAGACTAATCTTTAAAAAAGGAAAAAGAAATGATGATGGAGGTAGAAAGTAATTTAAAAAATTTAAATGAAAATTTCAAAAAAAAAAATTTAAAAAACAAAAATTCATCAAAAATAATCCCAACTTTCATTTTGTTGCCTAAAACGGGCATTTCCGTTAACCCTCCGTTAGAAACTTAACGGCGACCCAAAACTGGCAAATTTCATTAAAGTTGGGATTATTATGCATTACAGTGAATGGTGAGATTATTTTTGAAAGACCGGGTAAAGTTGGAATTATTTTGGGTAATTTTTCCTTGTAAAAAAAGTTATTTTAAAAAAACAGTGTAATTTCCTCTCATTTATCGTGTTTTTTCAACAACAAAAAAAGGTAATAATAGTGTTACTTATTTTTTTATTAGCTAATTTAGCTCATGAGCCTCGTATTATCTCTTTATAAGTTGTAACGGACACATGAAAAATCAATTACACGTTTAGCTGAAGTCCATTCACATGGGTTCTATATTTAGCATAACTACCTCTTAGTACAATTGTTGGGAATCAAATTTGGATTTATCCCCTTGACACTCTGTAATTTGTATCTTTGTCAACTGCACAACGCTCTCATAGCAAGTAAAAAGATAAAGAGAGAGCAATTCTCATATTAATGATGACCGGATCCCCTCCCCAAACACGGAGAAGGATTTTTAAAGAAAAAAGACTTGTGGTCCAAGAAGAAAATAAAAAATGAATCATGATAATGGGCCAACCCAAGTTGCTTCAAAAAACTACTTTGGAATTTCTTCGATTTTCTGTTAAGAATTTTCGAGTCTCACATTATCTGAAATATACTTTGGAATACATTTGATTCTTCTAGTAAGAACTCATAAGTCCTACATTATCTGAAATAAACTCTGAAGGTCATTAAAAAATTTTGTAATATACTATAGAAGCACATTACGCCTATTTAGCGGTTAGGATTGAAAGTTTCGTTATTTTGACAAATACGAAATTTTATCTTGATATTTTATTTATATTTAATAAAATTCTTTAATTTGTCAACGTAAAGGACCTTTCGATCCAAATGTCTAAATGAACATGAGAGTTCTTACCATAAAATCGATAGTACCTTAAAGTATACTTTAAATATGTGAGACCTAAGATTTTTTACTAGAAAATTGAAGGTATTGCGGGGTAACATTTTGCAACTTGCTGGCTAGACATCCATCTACTGTTAGAGGGACTATCATACTATCATGCTAAGTCCTCGCAGCTGATCGAGAATAATGTTACGGTAAAGATCGAGTACGTACTCTATAAATTGGCGAGGACCAATCCACAAAAGAGGCTAAATGACCGACTCCATTCCCTCACAAGGACGCGGCCGACCACACTATCTATAGGAAGAAGACATGTACAGGTTGTCGAATGCGGCTTCGACCTTTAGACTTTGAGTCTTCTTCAATGGGTCGGATATCCCCTATCAAGGATACTGATCCATCTATATTTGGTGATTTTATCCGATCTGATTCAACTTAAAATCCTACCAAAACACTCTACATCTGTTTGCAAAAGTACTTCCTTTTTTAATGGGAAAGAAAATGTATGCACTTATGACCGTCACATTCTAAGTGTTAGATAACTATGGTAATAGTTATAGTTATAGAAGGATTGTTATTATAGTTAATTACCATATTTGGAGAATCCTAATTGATGTAGGAATCTCCATCTATATAAACTACCTTGTACACAATTATTTCCTTGAGTTGAAATCATAATTCAATATGGTATCAAAGCCTATTGATCCGTCTCTTCCTTCTCGATAACACAAAGAAAACAATCGGCCCAGCTGATTCGTCTTCCCACGCCGCCGATCTCCACCAATCGGCCATGGCTGCTCAATCTTCTGATCCCATGGATCGTCTGCCTACGGGTTTGAAATTATTTGTCCGGAATCTTCAATCTCTAACTCCGGTCAAACTTGATGATACAAATTATCCTTCTTGGTCTGCTACGATTCGTGCAAATCTCATCACTCATCGTCTTCTCGGATATGTTGATGGTTCAGAAGTGCCTCCTCCACCCCTTGTTCTGGACGAGAAAGGTGCTGCCCCTGGCAAGGATGAACCGCCAGTTATGAAACCCAATCCTGCTTATGACTCATGGGTTCTTGTTGATGCTCAAATCCGGGCCTGTCTTCTTGCTATTGTTTCTCCAACCGTTCAGACTCATATTCATGCTCTTCCGTCCTCTGCTGCGATCTGGAATCACCTCGAACAACGGTATAATTCTCTATCACGTACTCATATTTTTCAATTGAAGGAGCGCCTACATAGCATTCAAAAGGGCACTGATTCCATGCAAACATACCTGGACACTGTTCTCACTATTGTCTCATCTCTGAAATTGGCTCATGAGGACATCTCTGAACAAGATATTATCCTGTGTATGCTTCGAGGCCTCCCTACGGACTATGCCTCGCTCAAACAAAACGTTCGTACTAATATTGCAACCGTCACTTTTAATCAAGTATCTGCGTGGTTGCTCTCGGAAGAATTAAATCTCACCTTTGAGAAGAAATTGCACCTTGGTGACACTGGTTCTCCCTCGTCAACAGATCTTCACCATGCATTATTCACCAATTCAGGACGAGGTATTGGCCGGGGTCGTGGCCGTGGGCCATATCGTGGCCGTGGAGGGCCCTCCCGCGGCAGCAGCTACAACGCCAGAGGAGGCCGGCTGCCTTCCTACCGTGAGGAACCGCGAGGTCGCGGTGGTGGGCGTGGGGCCGGCATCACGTGTCAACTTTGTGGTAAGACCGGTCATGCGGTCTGGAATTGTTGGCACCGCTACGATGAATCTTACTCCGGTCCTCCACAGGCATACTACACCAAACAATCTGCTGAAACCAATCCGAACTGGCATCTAGATACTGGAGCGAACACCCATGTGACGTCTGATTTTTCTCGGCTCCATACTTTTTCACCCTATCATGGCATCAATTCTATTACAACTGCGGGAGGTAATACTTATCCTATTGACCATACAGGCTCAGGTATACTCACCACTCCAAACCATACCTTTACATTAACCAATCTTCTTCATTCTCCTCATATTAATTCTCACCTTTTATCCGTTCATCAATTTACCAAAGATAATAACTGTTCCCTACTTTTCACTTCAAAGGATTTTATGATTCGGGACAACACCACCAACCAAGTTCTTTTCAAGGGCCCCTGTGAGCGTGGATTATATTCTCTCCCTGCCTTCAGTTCGTCACCAGTGGTCAACTCTGTCAAAGTCACTCCCTATCAATGGCATTGCCGGCTTGGTCATCCCTCTGTTCAAGTCACCAAGTCTTTGTTATCTCAATTAGGTTTTAAATTTAAGGAACTTGATCATTGTCATTCTTGTTCTGTTGCTAAATCTCATAAACTCCCCTTCCT